TACTATTATTAATGGGTGGGGTTTTTATAAAATTAAGAGTAAATTTAACCCCCCCCCTTTGGTGGGAGGGAAATTATTTTCCTCATTCTTTCTTGTTTTTCTAATTCTTAGAAAGTGCCAGTGACCTTTTCTTTTAAAGAGAGATTCTTGCTGTAGGGCTCATACATTCACTGGAGGGACAGAGAGAGACAGAAAACAAGAATTCACCCTCCCCCACAGGGTGGATGGCCATGCTGCAATCCCTTTTCCTCCATTCTCCTCTTGGGATTTTGGGCATGCACACATATGCGCCTGGCATGAGTTTCAAGCCACTGGGTCCGAAACTCGAACTGCAGTTGACTACATGCGAGTCTAGCATCTTAACCACTATACCACCTGCTAGCCTTAAGTTCCAGTGACTTTAGCTATTAGCTTCTATGTTCTGAAATTAGCTAATATGCATCAACTCTCTGATAGTGACCAGAAAGCTAGACTTTGAGTGTCTGGCTGCTCATCCATGAGTCACTGTCAGGGAGTACGGTGTTAACTAACAGAATTGGAGTGAGAGTAGGAATGGGGTGAGGGAAGGATTGCTTTTTCTTTTGCTTGCTATTCATTGCATACAATCTGGATTTTTCCTGTCCCTTCCTAATTATACTATTCAACATCCAAGGAAAAACAAAGAGGGGGGTGTTAAAGAAAATTTGTGGGGGAAAAATCCCACAGAATCAAAATGGCAGTTATATCGCCACTTTGAGAATGAAGTTCTTGTTTGGTTCAGAGAGAGTCTCCCATTAGTGTGGGGCCATCTCTTTCTACTGGTGTTTTTTTGGACCAGATTTTCAAGGGCTTTGGGAAACTGGGTTTATAAAGGAGCTTATTCCACCTGCAGTGTTGGAACAGCTGGCCAGTGGAAAATTGCACTTCTATTTCTTATTGGCCAAAAATCACAGTCAACAAGACTGTCTAGTTTTATCTATGTGTAAATCATGATTTCAAATAACATTTTAATCAACGTAATCAACATATGGAGAATAGAACATTCCAGTCTAAGATAAAAACTGAAATTGGGCACAAAATATAACCTAAATGTATTTCACATATAAGCATTAATGTGTGGGCCAGAACATTCCATTTAAAATGGTAAGTGACACATTACACCAAGGGAGGTTGTTCCCTCAGTAGCAGCATGCCCACTTGAATCTCAGGAGTGCAGAGTGAAGGCTTGTATGTGGCAATCACCTTGTTTCCTCACTCACTGAAGAGTGAAACTGGAATACGCTTGGCTTCCAGATTTCTCTACAAGTAGAGGAAGAAATGCTAGACTGTTTTATAAACAAGTTTATGAAATTATATTTTTCTGTTATGACTCTAAAGAATGTAGATGTACTTTTACAGTCTTCATAACTGAATGCAGTAAGCCTGAGAAGATTTACTTTTCTTAGAAAGTTAATATTTGGGGTTACAGATGAGACTACAGGTGCTAGAAATACAACAGTGAACAAAACAAAGCCTCTGCTCTATGTAAGCTTAGATTGAAGATGATTGATTTGTGACACAAAATGAACCAAGCAGATATAAAATAGGTCAGTTGCTAGTTAATCCTCTGGAAATAACAAAGCAGAGCGAGAAGGGTGGTAAGAGACAGAGGACTGGTGATTCTTATTAGACTATGAGACTGTCTACAGAAGGGCTCACTGCTAAACCAGAGACCTGGAGGATGGGACCATGTGAACTATGCAGCTCTCTGAAGAAAGAATATTCCAGGCAGAGTGGCCACCCACCAAAGCCCCGAGGAGGGCTTATCTAGGTGGTTTTGAGAAAGCCAAGTGGTGAGAGAAGAGTGAGCAGGAGTGGAAATGTAGGGTTGTGTAGAGTTTTCTAGGACTTAGCATCGACCTGGGTTTTGAGCTAGGAGAGACATGCTCTGACTTAGATTTTAAAAGATTCCCTCTGGTAACTGCCGTACCAGCAAGGTAAATCTGCAGTTGAGACTGCAAGTTGACCTGAAGATCTCTCACTTCTGAGCCTAATTTTCTGAGTTGTTTAATTTTCACTGTGCAAGACAATTCTCTAGAAAGTAAGTTAAAGATTTTCTACTTCACTGTATCGAAACATTAGCTGTCCTATGTGGCATGATGGGCCTTAAGTAAATTCTGTTTTAACTAAATCATTCAGTGCAACTCTCAAAGATATTTTCATTGTAGAAATATATTGCATCTTGGGGCCAGCAGATGACGTGGTGATTAAGGTGGCTGGACTCCCACATGGCTGACTGTGGTTTGAGTCCTGGACCTGGTGGCTTGCTTTCTCACTTTCCTTCTCTTTCTCTGTCTCTCTCTGGTCGACTTCAATAAAATAAAAAAAAAATAATGACAATGAGCAAAATTAAATAATTATTTAAAAAAGAAATATATTGCATTTTGAGTTCAAGAACTTCTCAAATAACTCTGGTTAGTATTGTCAAGCAGGAGATAAAAACAAGGCAGTGAATAATGAACTTTTTATCATTATATTCTTGTACTTTACTCTGTGGCTTAGTCTGTTATTGTATTGCTTACAGAAATATCCAAGACTAGGTGATTTATAAAGAATAGAGGTTTATTTGACTCACAGTTCCAGTGGCTGACAAGTCTAAAGGTATGAGGTTGCCAGCAGACTGGTTACAATATGGCCAAGAGAATCAGAGAGGATGGCAGGCATATGCAGAGAGACCCTGGTCTGTGTTCCATTACAGTCTCTCATTATTTCTTATAAACCCACCAGAATTCAATCATGGAGGCCCTGGCCTAACCACCCAATCACTAGTCTCTTCTGCAAGGCTCTACCTTATAACACTATAATCAGATTAAGTTTTCATCATTTTAATTCTGTTAACAGTGACTCAATACATGAATTTTGGGGGATGTATTCAAACTGTAGCATTGCATATGTAATAAAACCCATGAAATTTAGTACAGATGTTCTCCTCTACATGATGGAAGATGAGAATGTGAAGAATATGTGTAGCTTCTTTTGCAACATTATCAGTCAAACCATGCTAATAACATTATTTTACATAATATAATCTCGAGAAATAACTTCTTTCATTATATACCAAATATTGTGTTGGACAAATAACTCATTGACATAAATATGGTAATATAATTGTGGACAAACTATCACATTTTCTTCTACAGTGAATTTTATATGAATCTTTCTTTCTCCCTTTTAAAATCCGACAGATGTGGATGAATGCCAGGCCATCCCTGGGCTCTGTCAAGGAGGAAATTGCATTAATACTGTTGGGTCTTTTGAGTGCAAATGCCCTGCTGGACACAAATTTAATGAAGTGTCACAAAAATGTGAAGGTAAGAAATCTCATGCTTTGCACTTAAGAAGGGCAGGCAAAATTCAGCATCAGTGACAAGCTTCTTTGCACGTTATTCCTAAATCTTTCTGTCTTTGTCATCCCCATGAATGTGTAAATACCATATCCTTACCAGAAATCATATGCTTGTCTGCTGTTGAACCAGAAAAACCCTGCAGCTTTTTCCACTTTTATAGACCCAAAATAAGAGGTCCATCTGAATCTAATTAAATATTAAAACATGCAGTATTTTTGAAGCAATATTTGGTTTAAAATGTTCAAGACACATGTTTTCGTATAGCTCTAAAGTCATGAATTTAAAATCGATCATTAGATATCATTCAGAATTATATATCTTCTGATGTTTTTCTAGTTCAGATCTGTTTGATTTTGTGTGGTGGGTGAGGCTGGAGAGATCTATTAACTTCTGTATTTATGCTTCTAGTTCAAGCTTAGGATTTTCTTCTCTAGGGAATAATATATGCCTAACAAATAGAAATCTTTTAATGTTACTCAAACCAAAAAATAACTTGAGGTAAATTTTTTATGTTTGCATTTAGTTTATAGATTGAGCTCCTAAGAATACGAATATAGAGGATGTGCTCATATTTGCCATTACTGCTATTTGCCAAAAAGAGGCCTGGCTTCCCAACATAATAATAATTTCTTTGTGAGAGAGAAGCATCCAGAAAATAAGTAGGCAGTGTAGAATGCTCTGTTTTTTGACAAGTGCATGTAAGTTATATTAGGTTATTAGACAAGTCATTATGTATTTTTGTTTTTCCCTGCAAAAATGTGTCATGACCATTCCTACAACCCAATACATGGTAATGGCTGACCAAAAAAAAAAGTAACAGCGTTTTCAAGGACACATCTCTTTAAAAACTCAGAAGAAAAAAAAACCTTTTTTTTCCTTCATTCTCAGCTTATTCTTCATAGTATGATCTAAATAAATACATGTGGTTTATTGAAAACAGTTGCTGTTGTATATATTCTCCTGGAGGATGAACTGTCATTATCCCTGGATGCTACTGCTCCATACAGCAATGAGAAATAGTGCATTCTAAGTTATTTGTCTAGACTTGGATTCATCCTTCATTGGTTGCCATGGTGTATCATACAAGTGCATGACAGCTTTAAATTTAAGGTCCAGTTCATAAAACTGCATGTAAGATCTGAAATGGAATAATCTAACTCTGATAGACTTATCTTCATGAGTTGGAGCTGTTTGGGGTTATTAATCATCATAGCATTTATAATGAGTATTGTACTCTTGAACATGTGAGGGTTATTTGAGGTAGCTATGAAAAATACTTTAGTACTTTCTGAAGAAGGAGAGCTTCTTAAAACCATTTTGAGTTTCAAAGAATAGCAAAATTGACTGTAGGACAATATATTTTAGAAGGTGTATTATAGCTCTAAGTTTTAAACAGTGTTGATACTGGAAGGGGGAAAGAATTCAACTCTTTCTTAATATAATATTTGAAACTATTTAAAACGTGATGGTAGAAATTTTCAAATATCATCCTACCTATCCTCTTAGGCAATAATTTAATAAGGTATTAAGGTCTATTTTTTGCAGAATTCACAACAGCGATGGGCTGGGCCTTACATTTTTCAGGCCTTCTCAATGTAATATGTTTAGCTTCAAGATATAGTCAAGACTTAGAGCAATATAGTCTATATGACTTGTCTGGTCTGTGTTTTGTTTTCTAGAATTATAGTAGTTTCCAACCTGACCCAGAATTAGTTTTATCTCTTGTTTTTCATGCAGAGCAATCCTATAACTGCCAGGAATGGTCTATAGATGTATATTAAACAGAAGATGCAGATCTAATGCTCAGACTAAGGAAAAAATATTTCAGATTCCTTTTTTAACATTAATAAACCTATTATGGTTGTGTATCCAGTGGGCCAAAAATTGAGTTTGAGAATTACTTAATCTTTTTGCACGTGCACACACAGACACACACTCTTATTTTTTGGGGGCTACATATTAAAGTCAGTAGCAAGATAAAAACAGAAAACTTTTGGCTAAAAAAAAAAAATAATTTTCCCTCTTTGCCATCCTCTATAACCTTAAATTTAGAGGATGAGCTTTTTTCTCTTTTTAAAGTTTTCTATGAAAAATTGATATGAGACATGAATGTCCTGTTAGTACTACATGTATTCTGACCTGAAGGCTGGTTTGAGCATTCTTTGTCTGTCTTACTGTGGTAAGAGAGACATCAGAAAGTCCTTTGAGAACTACTCTTATTAGCGCTGGGTCCCTTTCTTAAACTCCCTTGCACTTTACCAGTTACAATCTCACTATGGGAATCATGTAACTTGGGGCATAGATGGTCTCTGCATGGTAAATAGAGGGACTCCGGATTTTTCAGCTCACAAACACTGAAAGGGGAAGGGAACTTATATGTGCCCTAGGAAGATGGTCAGGCATATGTGAGGGGTTCTGTGCCCTGTATTCCCTGTGGCTTTTTTTTTTTTTAAATTTATTTATTTATTAATTCACTTTACACCATCACAACACACAAATGAATTTTCCATCCAAAATACACTGTGCATTGTCTCAATCAAGTACATCCACATATATGTTCTCAGCAAATAATTTTCCAATTCTTACGTCCTGCATACCTTGCCCTTTGTCTTGCCATCCCTGATTCCCCATCCCCCACCCTCTGCTATGTCCCACCTTCTCTTTTTAAAGTTTTCTATGAAAAATTGATATGAGACATGAATGTCCTGTTAGTACTACATGTATTCTGACCTGAAGGCTGGTTTGAGCATTCTTTGTCTGTCTTACTGTGGTAAGAGAGACATCAGAAAGTCCTTTGAGAACTACTCTTATTAGCGCTGGGTCCCTTTCTTAAACTCCCTTGCACTTTACCAGTTACAATCTCACTATGGGAATCATGTAACTTGGGGCATAGATGGTCTCTGCATGGTAAATAGAGGGACTCCGGATTTTTCAGCTCACAAACACTGAAAGGGGAAGGGAACTTATATGTGCCCTAGGAAGATGGTCAGGCATATGTGAGGGGTTCTGTGCCCTGTATTCCCTGTGGCTTTTTAAATGTATCTTCCTCTTGACTTGGAGAGGAAGGATTTAGATACTTTTTACAATACTTTTTAAAAAATGGCAATGCAATCAATTGGTTTTAGCAAATTCACAAGATGCTAACCCTCACTCTCATCTCACAGATTTAAGAATGACTTTATTTAAATTGCTTCTTAGGAGATCTTCCTTTTCTTCCTTACTAAAATACTCTAAAAAAAAAGACCCTCATTTTATGTAAATGCATATGATTTAGATACATTTGAAATGTAGATTAACAAACCAAAGTGTTTGCATAACAGTTATTAAATTCTTATACATTTAGGAAGAAAAAGGTTGAGAGTCATAGCTGTATTTGAGAAAGGGAAGCAGAGTTCACGCCCACCTTCTCTGTTGGTTTTTCCGCTGACAATGGCTTGTGCACGCTGAAAGGACGCTTGAGCCTTTTCCTGTTTGAAACCAAGTCCATATTTGCATAGGTTACTGTGGGAGGAAATTAAGAAATAAAAAGTGTAATTAAGGGATTAAGTTTTTTATTTCTGGAAGAAGTCCCTTGGATTCCTAATTAAGCACTCACATTTTGGGATTTAGATTATCGTCAGCCCAGTCTTTAGCAATTAGAACAGCACGACATGATGCAAGGACCTTTGTAAAAATGTAGCTCGAGTCCATGCTCCCCCTGACACGTCAGCCAAAAAACCTCAGGACTTCTCCTTTCCAAAACAATGGCCTGTTTATCTGATGGGTACTTGGGGACTGTTAACTTCTTGGGCACTAAGGAGAATTCCTGGGGCAGCTCACCTCATTGCCACGGATATGGCTCCATCCTCTGTGACTGGGCCAAGCCCTTCACCACCCCTGTTCTGGGTACTGACTCTCTATACAAGTAGATGAACAGTCTCTGTAGTATAGAGATGGAGAAAAAGTGGGCCTGGACCTCACCCTGGAAAAGTCCCTAACCCTCTGTATGATTCTAGGTGAGTCAATTACCATCTCCACCTTACCTCAGTTTCCAAACGATGAGGCTGAACAAGGTGGTATCTGACAGTTCTTTCCAGCTCCACCATCTGAACTTTGTCTTCACACTTCTCGTTATTCTCAAGTTGCAACCAGACAACTGACGTGTGAAGAAGAAGCCATGGCAACTGGCATACGTGGGGCAACCCTGCATGCGATAGTACAGCTGGTATTTTTCTCCACGTGACTTGGAGAATCCATTTACTTACTTTTTTAGCGCACGTTTTACACCGAGTTGAGTTTGAATAATAACATAATGCTAATATCACAGGCTCCATGACATCCATAATCATAAGTAACATTACTTTTAAAACACTGCCACCGTTTTTAGTTTTAGTTTTTCTCATTTTGTACGTAATCTAGATAGATCAGGTCAACTGGTTTCCTCTATGAAGCCTAAGATCTTGGTGGAAGCTTCTGAAGAGCTGAATGTCCCACTCATGCCTGTCCCCAATTTGGAACCAAACTCCATCCCACCTGCCTTCTACACTCCTTCCCTTCCTGCTGCTAGAGGAACCCTCCCACCCCCAGGATGGAGAAGTAGTCTAGGATTGAAAGAATGCCTAAGAAGAGCAGGTACAGGCTGAGAAGGAAGAGTGAGAAGAAAGGACAGGGAAGCAAGTAGGGAGGGAAGGGACCTACCTTTTGTGTTTCTTCTCAGGCTACAGCAAGACGCCAGTGAGATCGTGGGCAGCTGCCAGGGAATAGCTGCTTTGGGGCATTTCTGTCTCTCTCTCTCTCACCTCAGCAAAATGGAGAGAAGTGTCCAGGGCACAGAAATAGCTCTTTCCAGCTAAGCCTCTCCTTACCAGACTTCTCTGACTGATTGGTGTTTATGGCTGGCATTTGGTGCACACTGACTTACAGAAATGCTTCAAAGTTACCATTCTTCAGTTCTATCTTACTTGGGGCTCCTGAGATGTTATTGG